CAGAACCTCCAAGATGTGCAGCTATTTAGACGATTCAACCACATTCGCAACCGAACCGATCCTCTTAAGGATTATGAGGTCTTCGAACAAGATTTCCGAGCCTTGGTGAGCAAGATGGTCGCGGCGCCCGGATCCTGGAACTTCAAGGTCGTGCCGACAGTTCATGACTGTTTTGGCGAGATCGATTTGGGGAAAACCAGGTTTTGTGCGTCCGAGATTGCAAAGCTATATGGGAAAGATTCGGAAGGACTGTGGACGAAATGCCAAATACTCTTTTTCCTTCAGAAAAAATCTCTGAAGAACCTTTACAGCGATTTTGCGACACGATCCTTCATCAGGAGATGGAAAACACATCCAGCTCCACCGTGAGCCAGATGGATCAGTGACGCTCAAGGAGATCCTTCGGAACAACCACAAACTTCGATCCTTTATTGGCATAAGAGCACCTATGCTATTTGCAGCACTCTTGATACAGCCAAGATCCGCAGTGCAATGGCCAATGTGACCAAGGATGATCCCACAAGACCTCCACCAGCAAATTCTTCTTGATGTTTTTCAGGCGGACAGCTAAATCGTGATCATCTGCCCAAAGCGCCTATCACCGAGATCAATCTCAAGCCAGCACAAGGACAGACGGCGGAAGGACCATCGCATCCCGAAGGTGATGGATCATCTTCTCAACCAGCGTATCCGGGCTGAAACAGAAGGAAGGAGCCGGAGCCCTGGACCAGACCTGACACTGGCCATAGCCGGATATCGTCAGATCCCGGCGACCCTCATCATCCCAAGAGAAAGTGAAGCTGAAGCCGAAGGCCATGCCCAAGCAAAAGGAAGACAAGGACCAAGAACCTGAAATTCCTGATGTGCATCCTGAAGGCCTTCGACAAACAGATGATGGTACTGTTCTAGATAGTGAAGACATTGCGGCCAGGATTCTGGTCCATGCAACTGACGCAAAATCCTTGAAGAAGATCATTGAAGAAGGACAGCTGGCCTCTGGAATCACAAGGCACAAGCAAGGAAGGACTCAGAACCATTTAGTCGACTTTACCGACTTTGTGAGATCCAACAAGCTTCGGGATTTCCCTCCGAATCAGCTTCGGCCAGAATGTTCCCACATCACCATCTTCATCTCCCATCACAAGCAGCCACTACCGGGATATTCACATACCACTGGAAGAACCTGGGTAACAGAAGATGCCGCGCCCGTCGATGACATGCTTACGCACACCAATCCAGAGAATCCCGCAGAGATTCTGATGGAAGAGCAGTCACTTCTCCATGTGGCTAATGCAGCCCAGGCCAATCGGACGATTTAGAAGGAGATTTGGAACATAATCTACAATATTCCGGTGTACTATAATGTTCTCCTGGCACACAGGGAGAACCGGAAAAGAGATGCACCATCTCAGGAAGATTCCGACGCTACTTCCCAAAAAGAAGGATGGGACAGGTGGCACGAAAAAAACATCCTATGAGTACAACAAGAGCTGGGGCAGCTGGAGAAGCTGGAATTCCGAGAAGAGACCGCGATCCGATGATCGATCATACAATGCTCCATGGAAGGAAGATGAGGAAACAACCCATGATAGGGACAGCGCTACATCCATGAAGTGTCCGCATGACTACGACATGATCAAGGACTTGAACCTCTTGTCATGGAGAGATTGGACAACTTCTGTTTGCAAGAACAATGCTGGGAGACCCTCGCCAAGAACCTGAAGGCTGAAGCCATGGAACTCATGGATTACCTATCCAGCCATGAGTTCAAGTTTTCTCCAAGAGACGAAATACCCTGGGGATGGGAACCTTCATCCCCGAGACCGGCATCACAAAGATCCAACTGGCAAGCAGTAAGGCCATGGAAAACAAATTGAAACCAGAAGATTCAAGGGCAGAAGCGACACATGATGAGTATTGCCGAGAACAACCTGAATGTGGTTTTCCAATCCGATTGCCAAAGGGAACCACAGAGCTTACTGTTCATGATTCAGCCGGCAAGAAGAATCTTTATATGTCCACCCTGCAGAAGGTCATGAGATCTACCAGGAATCACAGTATCAGAGATTCAGATGACATGATCGTCACTCAGACTCACACCCAACGTCTCAACGTCCTAACGTTGAATCTGGGTAATTTGGAACGACCTCCTGCAAAACCTGATAAGAAGGCAGGAGCGCTTTCTGAATCCGTGATCCTTGGCATGATTCGTCACAACTCTTCTCACATCTTATGTTTACAAGAAGCAGATGGCATCCTGAACCAGCTTGTTCGTGAGACAATCCGAAATGCAGGTTACACAGGAACTGTCATCTCGCAAGCTGGCGCAAAAGGAATCGGGTGTTTTGCTGAAAGGCGATCGTACCGCCCATGTGGAACTTCTGAACAGTATGGCTATCACCAACTCCAAAAGCTGGGTGATGACCGGTGCATACTTCCGTGTGTACCACGGACTGCTGTCCGATCCGCGACCCGGTGCATCCACAACATACACTCACCACAGAGATCCATCATTCCTCCAGGAGGCGAATATGGACTGCATTGTCAGCACCGAGCCTGAAGCGTTGGAAACATCCTCGTAAGGATGATACCCCTAGATGCAAGAACATCGAGATTTTCAACAAAGGCAGAATCCTGTATTTGGAGATGGACAAAGATAGCTATGAGAAACTGCCCACCGTTCCTAAGGACAAATATGCAGACTTTCCGAGATCCACTGCACCGAGCCGGACTTCCATTCCATACTGTAGGTGTATACCACTACGAGACGAGCTCCACCAAATCCTACACGCCCACCTATGGCAATCTGATGAAATTTCTTTATCGAGGAGCCCTATTCCTTACCGACACTATCACCGGCGACGCAAATCCGCAGCGAATCAGTGCCATAAGAAGCAGCTGGTCATGAATCCCACGTATTCGATTCTTTCCGCAGCAACTGAAGATTTCAGAAGAGCCGTGAACAGCTGCATCTCTCAGATCCTTGATCGAAGCAGCCCTGAACTTCAAGACCGAGAGAAGGATTGAGACAGATCCATTCTACGGCGTGTTGACTGCATTGTCACTCACGTATTCCATTGGTCCAAGACCAAGGAGATGACACAGGCGAAGAAGAAAATTTGAGAGACTATTCCGTTGACACTGACAATCAAGATGATCCACGAGATATCGAGCGTCACGACTATAGTGTCACATCCGCCGAAAGGTGCAAGCTGATGACCAACCAGATCCTTATGTTGGGAGAGTGACACAGACTGGCACCACCCATTGCTAGTCAACATTAGCTGCGTCAGCTGGCCACCGAAAATTTCCCAGGCTCAGATTGATCTTCGAGATCGATATTCGAAGAACCGCTGGGATGTTCGCAGCCAAGGCTATTATTCGGTCACTTATGACCATATTCCTCAGTGCAGATGTGATTCTTTCGGAATTGCTTTGAGATCCAATGGAGATTCATTTTCTGAATGATGACATTCGCTCCGGACATTGGCCTGCTGCCCCTCGGAATTTCTCACCATCCTAGGTCTCACAGTGTCTCTTTGGTTTCAATCGTCGATCGTGTATATAGCACATGCAGATTCAGCCTGGAACAGAATTCGCCGGAAAACTTTTGCGGTTCGTTCATATAGCTACGACACAGTAATATTCAGGCCTGTCAAACCACAGGCCATTTTTACACCAATTCACTTTGCCATGAGTGGAAAGAACTTTGTTTCTGTTTTGTTTCTTGTTTTGCTTCTTGCCGAACCAATCCACTCATAGGTTGATCCTCCGCTGCCATTTGATTCACAACCATATTGCACAGGCCTGGTGACTTGACACTACCTTGCGGTCAAACAAGAGTGCTTGCAGTGTCTGTAGTAACATAACTCTTTCACCAACTACGTTGCCCATCCATTTACTTGCCTTCACCGGACTAGGTTCAGGGACAACCACGAGGTATTCTTCTTTATTGGGGCCACGATTGAGGCCCGGTAATCCAACCTCAGGGAGGAGGGGGGGAGGCGAGTGGGGGGGCGGGGAGGATCCAGGCTTCCAGAGGTCCAGAAATCCAGCCGACGTATTTCCCGCCCCAAGCAACACATATATATATATATATGTATACATAGTCATATTCACATTATACTTGTAGAAAACATATCAACAAACACACAGAACACACCGCCCCCATGCTGAAAGCGTGGTCCATTCTGGACCAGGCGTGGGGTCGGCGGATTGCTGTTTACGTTAAGGTCGCTTCTGGCCGGAATCACTGGAACACACGTTGAGGGAATATGTCAGTGCTCTGCATTGTGGGCTTCCGCAAACAGACAGTTTATTCCTGGGCGTTCCCCCGGCTTGTCATGCCAGCGCACGGGAGAACTCAACAGTGTCTTCATGTGTTGCATGTTTTCTTCAGGGGCAGCGCACGACCGTCAGCAGCAAGGATCACGACACCACATTGTCAATGCGTTTGCTTCAGTGGCTTGACCATGGATGTTGACCATGGGTGCTAGCCGGAAACAATGCAGCATTGAGCGGAAGTTAGCAGGAACCGATGGGAAATGCGCCGCAACTTTTGGAAAACGACTTTTCTAAGCGTTTTTCGCACTGGAACGAGCTTGCCGACGAAACAAAACAGAATGAAAGGGGAGTCTTACGTTAGCTGTGTTTTGCTCGACTTGATGGCAAGGCCCGAGCTTGAGTTGCTTGCTGACTTGATGTCTCACGGGCGCAAACACGTCTTTTGGATTTGGAAGATGAGTTGAGAGGTTCATCATTCATCACACAAAAGGGGGCAGAAAGAAATGGAGCTATTCTTATTCAATATTATATCATCGGAGTTTTGCTTATAGGAGTATCCTGTGAATCGCGTGTTACGTTCATTTGACCTTTAGACCAATGTGAAGCCTAAAATGTGCCTCTACCCCAACATACCCCACATTTTGGGAGTTTTGGCGGCATGCATTTTGGGAGCTTTTGCTGTCCAGGTTGTTTCAGACCTTCAGCTTGCCGCCCAGGCTATGCACGCAGCGCCTCCGCTGCCATCGCCGGCGCCTGCCTGGAAGGTTTGCACCAACAGCGCGAAAGGCCACACCTTCCGCGGGGAGAGCCTATGCAGGGTCAATGGAACAAGAAATCCCAAAGGTTATTTTTAACTTCTGTTTGGCTTTCTGCATTTCGTGGAGGTGCAATGAACAAATCCAAGGCTGCGGGTTGAAGACAAATAAGTCCTACCGTTGGATTTGCATCGGACTCGGAGGGCAGAGCGATGGCACGTCCTGAAATGAACAAGCCATTGTCTACTGTATATATATATATGAATTCTAAGGTCAACAGTGGCGCCTTTCCTTAGCTTAAAGGTGTTGTGGTTACGTGTTATTGTTTGGTTTTCGCAAGAGAAACGGAGCTGAGTGGCAGGTATGTTGTTGGTCAGCTCCTCGAGCATTTAGCAAGTGTTACTTTTGTGGCTATGTTGGAAGATCTTTGGGCTTCACAACAAGGCAAGCCCCAAGCCGTCACAAAGGATGGTACTTTTTGCGATTGTCAATGTTGCCGTGTCTCCAAATTACCGGCTGGATACCTTTAACCAGGGCCCAAGAGGAAGCGAACCGCTTGGGCAGGGAACATGTCAAACCCTGCAGTTTACAAACAAAAACTTTTCCCATGAGAAGCAGCCGCGGTCACAAATATGTGTCAAAGTATACTGATTCCATTTCAATGAGACACATCGTGCTCCAAGCTTTGGAATTTTGCCAGGTTGAAGGGTAATCGTTCTAGGGAAGTGACCCATCGTTATCCGTGGAATTTGCGAAACAGCTGCCATTATGAAACGTTCTTCAAACCTGGCACGAAGATAATTCTGAGCCTTTCTCATATGGTTGTGAAGGTGCGCCCCAAAAGAGGCCTCCAACAGCATATCACAAAAGCGCCAGCTGGAGTTGTTCTACCGATTTTTTTGCTTAGCGATCCTTGCCTCTAAAGCTGATTGATTTGAAACATCCTGTATTGTTGCAGCTGTTTCTACGCGAAACCCGGGTGCTGGTGGCGCAACACGTTCTTAACCTCCCCTTGCCTTGTTGTGTTTGCGTTTGTGTTGCGACGGGCGCTCGTGGCGCAGAACGGCAATGGGAGCTGGGAGGCCCTGAGCCAGGCCGAGCCGCCGCAAAACAACAAAGCTTTGCAGCCGCGCACCAAGGACGAAATGTGGATGTCTCTGCTGGTTCTCTTGTCTGGCCCCTAGCGTGGAGATAAAATTCCTCGCCTGCGGGTCCAGAGGCCCTCCTGCTTCTTCGCTGACGCTGGACCTGCTTTGTAGCCTAGGCTACAAAGCATCCTCCTGAATAACATCGGAGCCGTTGCTGCGCTCGTGCCGCCCAGTAGCCCGAACCGTTGAAACTGCAACCTCCGCCTTGCGCGAACTGCGCTATTGTTCCCGCCTCACTCAAGTTATGCCCCTTTGTCCAATGGTTTTGGGACACATTCTAGGTTTGGCCTCGGCCTGCAGACGCGGGGAGGTTGCCGTAGGGTTGCTGGGTAGGCGCGCCGGCCTTTCTTATGTTTTGTCCGTCATGCTTGTGCCATTTTGCAATCCAACCTCATTCCCTTGCAAGTTGATCGGCAGGCGGGATACTGGTTGGAGGGTTGCCCTCTCGAGACCTCGGAAGAAATTAGCGCCCCCGCTTAAGGCGGATGCTTGGGTTATTCGGCTTTTAGGGTTGCACCCTCAGGTGCGTGGCAAGAGTGCTTGACAATGTGGAGAGTGATTGGTCGCACGCGTTGCCATTTGTTGGCCCGCCTATTTTCTTACACTTTAAACTTGTTGTTTGCGGGGAATTAATGTTGGTGTTTTGGCGGGTTTCAGTAGAGTTCGCGCTTTTACGGGGAATTTGTTGCCATCCCAACGGGGAAGTTTTCTCCACATTCCCGCAAGCAAGCGAGCAAGCAAGCAACAATGCAAACCAACCCAAAACCAATAAACCCAAGCAAGCAAAGGAACCAGCAAGCAAGCAGGCAAGCAGGCAAACAAGCCGGCAAGCAGGCAAGCAAGCCAGCCAGCAAGCAAACAAGCCGGCAAGCAAGCAAGCCAGCAAGCAAGCCGGCAAGCAAGAAAGCAAGCAAGAAGCAGGCAAGCAGGCGAGCGAGCAAGCGAGCAAGCAAGCAAGCAGGCGAGCGAGCGAGCAAGCAAGCAAGCAGGCAAGCAGGCAGGCAGGCAGGCAAGCAAGCAACCACCCCTGGACAATCCAGACCTACCCCACAGCAATCCTCAGCCGGCCCGAAGACAACCTTAAACCCACCTTTAGCCAACTTAAAAAAACCGTCAAACCAGCAAACAAAGCAGAACCCTAAACCAACCCTAGAGCAAGTCTAACCCACGTAAGCCGCACGTAAGCCGACCTGAAACCAACCATAAGCCAAACCTTAACCAACCCGTAACCAGCCTTAAGACAACTTGGAGCCAACCCTGAACCAACCCAAAGCCAGTTCCAAGCCGCCCAAACCCAACCCTAAAAACCACCCCAAAGCCAAACCACAAAGCCACCCTGAGCCAACTGTAGGCCTTCCCCAACGCCACCCTACATCAACCCTAAACCGCGCTACACCAATCCAGAAAGCAAGCAAGCAAGGCAGCAAGTAGGCAAGAATGCAAACGAAACCCAAGCAAGAAGGGGAACAAGCGATCGAGCGAGCGAGCAGGCAAGCAAGGAAGCAAGCAATCAATCAGGCAAGCAGGTACTCTCACCAGGCGCTACCCAACGAATCCGTCAAGACAATTAGAGAGTCCCGCGCTAAAAATTAACTTTCACGGCAATTCCCATTTCGCGGCAATCAGTGACTTCTTAATTGACTTGCAAAATTAACTTTTCACGGCAACGGCAACGGCAAAAAAACGCGGCAACAAAAACGGCAACGGCAACGGCAATTTTGGAAGTAGTTACTGCGAAACTACTGCACTGGAGCTAATTCCGCAGTAGTTTGGCAGTAGTTTGGAACTAACTACTGCGAAACTACTGCGCTGGAGATAATTTCGCAGTAGTTTGGAAGTAATTATTGCGAAACTACTGCACCTTGGCAAACAGCCACGGCAACAGCCACGGCAATTTCCCCGTTAAAAAATAACTTTTCGCGGCAACGGCAACGGCAACGGCAACGGTAAAAAAACTGCCCACGGTAAAAATTAACTTTCACGGTAAAAATTGTCTTGCCCCCGCTAATTGTCTTGACGGATTCACAGGGTAAGGAGATGTTTCGTCCAGAAGATTTCACGCTGGGGCTGGACACGGGCGCTGGATTACATAAATGTGTAACAGTTATCAACAGCTTGCGCCTTAAAATGTTGCCCATAGCTGGGATACGCGGCATCGTGCCAGGTCGCGGCGAGTGGCGTGGTTGCTTTGCTTTGTCGCGTTGCCACGAGCTAATGTTCTGATTTGCTTTGGCGCGTTGCGTGGTAAAAACGATGCCAGGAGCCAAGCCATGGCCTCAAGCAAGCCACGCGCTGCTGAGTAATTGGGGCAACGCGGGCTTGGGCTGCGCTCGGTAAACAGCAGCAAACAAGGGGTTGGGATCAAACGGCTCACCTAAACTGGGCACCCCTGTGGGCTGAAGTCAGAAGTGACTAGGTCCATCTGCGCTGCGCACACGCATTTGTGCTCATTTGATGCTTATTCGATGCTTATTTTTGCCAATGTTTGTAAATTGCTTCAAAAAAGCAGCAAAATCTTTATTTGGTGCTTATTTGCTGCTTATTCGATGCTTCTTCTTGCCAATGTTTGTATTTTGAGCCAACTTGCTGCGTGTATGCAGCAAAATCCTTATTTGGGGCTAATTTGATGCTTATTCGATGCTTTCGTTGGTGCTTATTTGATGCTTATTTCTGCCAATGTTTGCATTTGGAGCCAAATTGCTGCATTCATACTGCACACAAATGTGTGTGCTCGGGGCTAATTTGATGAGGTTTTCTCGCCTCATACCTCCCTCGTCGATCTGGCTCGTTTTTGTTGAGCTGAACAACCTCATGGATATGACCCATTGAATCACGACCTCATGGATATGACCCATTGAATCACGGCAAAACCCTACCAAAGAATTGCAAGAAGCCGACTCAGTTTCATCAAGTAACATTAAATAAGGCTTACTTGAAGACTTGCAGGCTACACTGCCGCAATCATCATCGAGACAAATAACATCTAAATTAGGCTTATTTTCAATCACCAAAAATAAGCTACAAAACGCCTTATTTAAGGACCAACGGTCAACCTTCCAAAATAGCCCTGAAATAAGCCTTATGCATGGTCTATTTTGTTTCCGTAAAATTACAAAACCTTAGCCATTTGCGAGGGGCCTGTCGCAGCTGCGAGTGTATGCACAACGCAGACACAAAATAATATTCAAAGAACAAAAAACATCCATGGCGTGCAATTGTCCATGTACCTCACTGTATACTGCGGTAAGCCTGAAAAATGTCCTCACCAACATCTTCCGCAAAGAATGTTTGCGCAAGATGTGAGTCCGTCAAGTAATGCACGATCCAGTCTACCGGGGGTGCCTTGTCCTTGATCAAGGTTCGAAAAGGAGGATGTTCATCACAGCGTTCAATGGTACCCGTTGTGATAGTGTTCAACAGTTGATCGGCTTTTGCACTGTGTTTGGTAGGGGGATCGGCCAAACAGTGTTCTGAGGAAACATGCCCAAGGTCATGTAGGTTTCCCGTGTTTGGTTCATGCCTCAACATCTATATCAGGTGACGAGTTTCCTTTTGTTCTGGAAGACGCGTTGCCCCAGCTGTTGTAGCCAGATTGTTCGCATCCGTCCTGATGTGAACGGGAGTAGCTTCGCCTGAAACATATGTCCATAAACCACGTAGGAATAAACAGGTACCGAAACATTTCATCAGGGCATGCAACTCTGCAACTGCGGTCGATTGAGTCGTCGCCTTTGTCTTGTGTGACACAAAACCGACTAGCAGGCCTCTGGCCGCTGCCTCTGATGTCTTGCTTGCCGACCGCCTGTGCGGTGCAGGTTTTCGGTCCTGAGCAATCATGATCACATGTGCGCGCTGGCTGCTCTTGTCGGCGTTGTTCCGGTAG